AAGTCGCCTTCTCATCATCGAACGTCGCTCACTCGTTCAATCGTCAAGATACATCCAGGCAGCGAGTCAAAATAAACGCAGTCACCACCATCTTTTACTTGAATTGAGAAACATTGAAACTCCTGTTGTTGTGAGGATTCCGGGGTACGTCTGCACCTCCCTGGCGTATCTTTTTCGTTATTCCCATCGTTTTTTTTTGCTTGCTCTGTTGGCAGTGTCTTAGCAAAGCTGTGTGTAATCATGGTAGGCCTTTAAGCTACGTCGACACTGGAGTGAAGGGTAAAGGGTTTCAGACACACCTCAACCGGTGCCGAGTCGCAGAACTCACGTTGTATACGCTTCGCTGGAAATCTAATATATTGCAGTATGTAAATGGCAAGAACATTCAGATACAGTTTTCAAACTTGTGGTGAAAAGAACATGAAGGACAGGTCGAGTCTTCCACCCGTGAGTATTTACAGCATAATCAAACCTCGGGATTCCTGGATTGTGTCTCGTCTTCCATATGTTGGTCCCCGCTCCGAGAGTGGAACCTGTCCAGCTGAGTGACGATTTCCTGGATCTGCGCGAATAATCCGCTTGCGCGTGCTGCCGCTTCTGCATCCTGTAGGTACGTACTCAATGCACTTTGCAATATCTCGCGGGCCTGGACGTCATCCAGCCATGCGTGAGCTTTTAACCATCCATTGTCTGTACCAGTATATGGTCGCCAGACGGCAAGAGTTGGAAACATCCGCAGGAGCATGATATCGCCGGCAGCAAACAACTCCTTCACCACAGTCGCAAATCGAAGCTGGTAGTTTGGATGAATTGCCGATCGGGGGAGGAAACCTCCCACAAACTGTATGGTCTGCGCTGCTTTGAACAGCGAGGGGGTTAAGCAACATTGTCGAAGAAATTCGGACAAGGTATTGAGCCCCTCCTCCGTATATCTGCGTTGTAAACCCATTCTCATCTGGGTCTCGTCCCGGCCAAGCCCCGCCACAGGAGAGAATGGTTGTGTAGGGAAAACAGGCTCGTTGAATCGTGAAACCAGACTCTCTCCGTAGAGGATCTCATCTTCTAGACGTTGTAGAACAGCCCTCTTTGCCACCGCAACAACAGAGGGGGTGAGATATTGGTGTTTCGTTTGCGAAACAGCTGCAAGAATTGCCTTCCAAGTTGAGAGAGGTATCAAATAGGTCATAAGATTCACGGTGAACATGGGTGCTTCATTCCAACACAGCATCCAGGCGACCGTCAAGGGCGGGGTCAAGGAATCCTCGCGACCATTGGGATGCAGATTAAGGAATTGCCAGGGGGTATCCGCCGGTCCGTGAAGAATTGTTTCTGGGAGTTGCCTCCAGGCATTGACTGGGATTGAGCGGAGGGCCTCCTTGACTGCGGCTTCAGATCTGCGGCTTGTGAGATAGTCTACCACCGCCCAGGGTAGAGTGCAGTCAGATCCCTGCGGGTCCCAGTAGGAGACTATCTTGTGAAACAGCTGGTCCAGCCAAAGGTCGTCTGAGGTGTTGCTGAAACGTTCTAGGTTGTCATAGACAACTCTATCCAACCGGACCTGCACCATGCCAAGAGTCCGCTGAGAAATTGTCATCCCGGAAGGTGGTGACAGGAGTGATTGGGTGGGCCCAAACTGATATGGGATTTGTTCTGAGCTGCTACTATCGGCAAAGTAATCCAGTAGTATCTGGAGCGGCCAGTCCGTTATGATGTCAATTGAGCTGTGCACCGCTGAACTGAGTACTTCAGAGGGAATAGTAGAATCCTTGAATGCTCCCCAGTTGAAACCGAAATTATATATGCTGCCCAACTGGTGGAAACAGGATCGTATCTGCGCCATGGTCCAAAGGTCCAGTGGTTGTTTTGCGGCAACATTCTCGGACATTGCCCTGAGATGTTTCAAAGCACTGTCGCGTAGGTCCTTGAATGCACATAATGTAGCCCAAGCCTGTACACCCTTGGCTGAGATGTAGTATGGAAAGACTTCTGGGTCTTCAAAAGGATGGAGCCTGGATGGCAGCCGCATTTGGATAGGCTTTCTGCGGTTGATAGACTGCCAAGTGCCCATATCACCTTGTAACAGGAAATTTTGCGATGTTTCGCCACCTCGGCAGGTATGACATCACTGTAGCAACCCTGCCCGAAGCTCTGAATCCGACTGAGGAGATCAGCGCCTGGATCCTCGATCAAATGGTGAATGTGTTTGTCATACCGCCGGCGCCTCTTGAATGTGCCCCACAATACATCTGGAATGGCATCAATGAAGGGCTCCAGTTCGAGATCATCTGTTAGTGATTTGAGGGTCCAAATCAAGGCCTTGCCATCTCGCGAAGACCGCTCCTCGGATGGTTGTGTCGCCTGACGAAACACACTGTCCACCATAGCCCCGTCGGAAGGGAAGGCCGTTGAGGCAGAGTGGCGATGCAAAGGGGTCCGGAGTACTCTTCGCAGCTGCCAGAAGCCTCCAGAGAGCGGCGTCCGATATGGGCAGTCTGGGTGAAGAAGGGGGACAAATGTGAGGGTGGCGTAGATGAAGAGGACTGTGGCCAAAATCACAGCGGTGACAGCGGTGATCACAATATTTATTGGGAGGAGGAATGCCACGAGACCGGCAAAGAAGAAGAGCAGGGATGCGTGTAGGAGGAGAGGGATGATTTCGACGACTGTGTGCATCTTGAAGCGCCTGAGGCCGTAATAAAGATATGAGAAGACACGGGCGCGAATGACCGGGGCAGATCGCATCTCGGCCTTGTGCAGGAAATCCCGAGCCCATTGCTCGAGGAGTGTTGCAACAAGTGCACACACTAGGCTGAGTCCGAGGCTAATGAACCAAAGAATGTTGCAAATGAGAGCGCTCGCCGGCGGCATGAATTGTGGTGGCTGAACGAAATTGAATGTTGTGCCATTCGCCGCGGCTGCCAGTTGACCAGAAATTTGGGACAGCAGGAGAACAGTGGTGTCTCCAGAGTCCCGTACGAGTGTCTTGTAACTCTCAATCAAGAAGGCGGTTAAGCTGGTGGAAAAGAGACCAGCCTACAAGCCGTTAGTATTAAATTAAATGATGTCGGACACCTCTTACGAATATCAGCATGCCCTTCATGTCACTTCTCCAGCTTTCCACCAAGCCCTTGTCATATTTTTCGGCCTCCGACACGTACACTTGCCACAACTTCGCGGCGGCCGCCTCATCTTCCGGATCATCGGTCCAGGCCTTAGTTCTGCTGTCATCTGACATATCGTCAGGCAGTGCCGCAGCAAGAATATATCCCGTGTCAGCGGACGTACGGAACTCTGACCCTTGCTTTTCGTCTGTCAGGTATTGTCAGGCAGCAAGAATACATCCGTGTCAGCATTGGACGTACGGGACTCTGACCCTTGCTTTTCGTCACTAGCGCTCATGGTGGCAGGAGGCAAGCCGAAGCCAAGTGCCGGTCCGGGGTGACCGTGATGAACTGTCAATGATCCGTGATGGCTGGGATAACCAACCACCTTTCAACCGCGTAATATTCGTCCGCGTTACAAAAGGACTGCCGACCCGTCGATAGAGCTGGTTCAGTAAAACAAAGTTCGAACATTCAATGTCCGGGCGTGGGTGTTTTTCAACCTCAAAATTGAACCCTTTCAAGCTTCCATCGCATCCATGATCCTAGATGTGTGAGTTTCACTTCAAGATATCTGGAAACTTATCTCGATGTCAGATCATCCTAAGCACCATCAGCAACGATACAATGACCACTAATCTCTTACTACTACTTCGGCAAATCTAGCTGTGTTTTGAACTGTGGCAAAACAATCAATTGCCACAAGCAAGCCACAAGACGCGCCCAAGACGCGCCGAAGACCAAGGGAAACATTGTCACCTCAGTACCAACAGTCATTTGCGTCATTTACCCAAAAACCTGGCCGATCCAACCTTGTCTCCCCCCCTCAAATTTTTTACTTTCCAACTAGTTCGGTGACGGTGAGTTGTTGGAACTCAGGTTGTTTCTTTCACAGACAGGTTGCGACGAGGAGGTAATGATATTCAGGTAACCGGTAGATGTCGGTACTGAATCTCTGAATCTCTAGGCCAAACATTAAAAACATTGCGGACTTACTGCACGAAGGAATTGGGCATAGGAAGTGGACATAGTGTTTGATACACAGCTGCACCACATACAAGATGTTAGTAATTGAGACCCATACCTTCTTCCGCAGATGTCGCACCATATTTGGCGGCAGGTAGATTGTACAGCGTTCAACGTTCAACTTAAAGGTCTCACCAGTATTGGGTTCTTATTGGCACAAATGGAAAGCCGTTCAACCAGTGTTACTGTGTTCAACGTCGAACCACCAACCGCTTTTGCTGCCGGCGCCTAACAGCGTGAATTGATTAGTCGTGCTTAATCAGCTCCATCCTGCTCTGAGCCTCTGACCATGGTTGAACATTGAACAGTTGATGAGTTGAATCAACTTCACTCCAACTCCTAGGCTCGGTTTGTTACCGAAAGACGTGCAACAAGATGCTGCGGTGGTTTGGCCTGGGAACACAGGGAGGAAAGCGGATGTAGTGCATGATGCACAACGAGTGTGAATCGGGTCACGTTCGAAGCAGTCTGACCGGGTTCAATTCCCTGCGTCCGCATGTATCAGGCTAAATTCACTGATTTTTTCTGCCTGTACCTAACAGCGTAAATTGATTAGTCGTGCTTTGTGAGGAAAGCCTGCATTCTGCACTGACCAATGACCATGGTTGAACCTTGAACCTTGAACGTTGAAGCGTTGAATCAACATCAACGTCACTCCAACTCAATTTGTTACCGAAAGACGTGCAATAAAATGTTGCGCTGGTTGGCCTGGAAATATAAGAAGAAAGCGGATGTAGTGCGCGGTGCACGATAGCTCTCCATGCAGTGGTTCTGGCTTACGTTCGAAGCACCTCCAAGGGCTCGGTTTTAATTGTGACCGAAAGGCGTGCAATAAATGCTGCGGTTGTGGGGCTTCAGCATTCAAAGAGGAAAGCGGATGTAGTGTGCGGTGCACCACTGCTCTCTATGAAGTGGTTCTGGGTTACGTTCGAAGCAGTCTGACGGGGTTCGATTCTCTGCGTCCGCATATCCAGTTCGAAATATTCTTTTTTCTCTGCACCTAACAGCGGAAATTAATTTTGTGCTTTATGAGCTCCATCCTCCTCTGACCAATGACCATGGTTAAACAAACATTGAACAGTTGGACATTGAAGAGCTGAATAAACTTCACTCCAACTTCCAGGGCTCGGTTTGTTACTGAACGTCGTGTAATAAATGCTGCGGTTGGGGCCTGGGTATACAGGAAGAAAAGCGGATGTAGTGCACCGCGCACGACTGCCCCACTGCATGGAAACATCGGAAGGAGTTGACGGGTTCAATTCCCCGCATCCGCGTGGCCTGGTCATTCATCGAAGTTCTTTTTTCACCGTTCATACTGATTCAACCTCCCCAGTCGATTGTTGTCTCCTTCGGGTTGCACCTTAAGGATTTGACACGGAGAGCTAATGTGATTCTACATAATATATTTTTGCGAACTGCCTTTACCACCCGGAGCTAAATGCGGAATCTCAACACGGGAGGTCGAGAATATCGAGAACCTATTACGTGGAGGGAGAGGTGTAAAACGCAGACATGGTGCGTCGTGCACAGCTGCACCAGATGGCTGGGCATCAACGAGAATAAAGCAGTCAGGCTCCGGGGGGTTCGATTCCCCGCATGTGTATGTAGCTTGAGACAATTTTTTTTTTTCATCTCCAACGATTTTCATCTCCAACGATTTTCATCTCCAACGATTTTCATCTCCAACGATTTTCGCCCCGGCCCTTCGACCATAGGCTGAACTGCGTGCGCCAGAATCTTTACCGCTCGCAACTTGCTATTGGGCGCTTTGACCAACCGTGGGACTGATCACTTCGCTCGGCATTACGTTGTCTGATCTCCCTTCCTGTCTCCTCGCCTGGGCTAGTCTGTAGTTAACCGCGCGATCAATACAAGGAGGGTCGGGTTATTACATAATCTTCGGAGTTTGAAATTCCCCTCTCACTATTCAGTACCTTCAACACACCATTTAGCCTAAGCTAAGAGGCCATTCATCCTGTAATCCTAACCACTTGAGCTCTACATCTTCAGAATATCTCCCAGGTGCCGGAGTATACACAGAATAAATGCTTAGCTTCGTCAGCGGCCAACCCCTGAAAGTTCGGCATCGCGATTCTTAACTCTAACAGAAAAATTCAAGGGAGGGAGTTATTGAACCTCATTCAGTGAGCATAGTTCATCCATAAAACACGTGGAATACACGTCCTGAGGTGCAGTTCAACATTTGAGGATTTTGATAAGGGGACCCTCCGATCAACTGTCAAAGGGAATCGACAGACTACAACAAACGAGGTACGAGTTTACCGTTGTAGCGTCTGTTTATAAGAGACTAATCTCTGCCCCAAGTTCGAAATTGTTGGGATCACTTTCGGCATCGCGGCCCTGTGTCTTGGCCGGACCGCCCGGACCACTTTTTGCCTCTTACCACCAACCACCATATCTTGTTTTGCTCAAGTCTCTTCTTACTTCGACAAACGGCGGCTATGGGTCCCTCGACACAATGTCTTGTGTGTGGGAGCACGATTCTCGCCGAGCTGGAGGGCTCAGACATTGCGGACGACTCGAGCGTTCTGGCATCTGAGTCGTCCGTCATATCGGATACCCGGCGGGAATTTCTTCTCAATACCAACGAACTTCCATTGGACATCGAATGTCCCTCCGTCCAATCCACCATCTCGCGACTTCGCCGCCGCCTCTCGCATCACGACAAAAGCATCTCTCGCCTTCGGGCGCAACTCACCCAACTAGAGGAGGAGCGAGTGTCTATTGCCACAGATTTGTCGCGCAATATGGGCATCATCTCTCCCCTAAGGCGCATGCCACCGGAAATCATCTTGGAAATCTTCGGGTGGACACTTCCATCCGAGCAAGAGACGGTAAAGCACTCAACGATCAACGCGACGATGCAGGATAGTCCGTGGTCGTTGGGTCGGATTTATAGCCGGTGGCGAACAGTCGCTCTCGCTTCCCAATGTCTGTGGTCATTTATTGGAATCGACTGCAACGTGTTAGTGGAGCCATACCCGCTTGCTGTGCTTGACATGCAACTCCAAAGAGCCACCTCCCTCCGTATCCATTTTGCGGCGCCCACCTCATTACAACGCGTTCATCCGGTGGACTATAGAATCGCTCTCCTCAAGCGGCTTGTCGAGTGTTCTCCTCGTTGGGTGGAAGCGGGCTTGATCCTGACTCCGCCTCTCGTTCCCATCCTCGTCTCTCTCCGTGATCGTATTCCACAACTGCGCACGCTATGGTTGGACAGTGTGGACGACAGTCTCAACCCACCCGCCGAAATTAATTGCTTCCAAGTGGCCCCAGCGCTCCGTAGCGCGTCCATCCTGTTGGGGGGCCGTCTCTTCTCGGTGCCCCTTCCGAGCCATCAGCTGACGCACTACCAAGCGCTCAATACATGGGAGCGACACCTCGGCGTCTTGAGGGCCGCGACAAACCTGGTTGAAGCCCGCATCTTTGTCCACATCTCCGACCACTCACCTCGGGCAGTAGGGTCCAGTGGCCCGATCGAATTCCGCGCACTCCGCCTCCTCTTCATATCCGACGCAGAGACCTTGGATTTCTTCACAGCCCCAGCTTTGGAAGATCTCGGTCTCTTCCGCGCGGCCGTATCCAGTATATCCCAGGTTGATCTGCACTGCATCGATTCATTGGTCAGACGCTCCTCCTGCGTGCTTCGGAGATATTCCACGTACGGCGTCACCCCCAGCGTGCTTAAAACAATGTTGCAATGCAAGTGGGCTCAGGCCGTTGCGCGGCTTACCGTTGTCACGGATGAAGCAGACGCGCTCGTCGCCTCTTTGTCTGACCGCGACGCCGCAGGCACTTTCACCCTGGTGCCTAACTTGCAAAGTTTGTTCGTCGGTACGCGAGAAAAATCCGATATCGACTACCAGCTTTGTTACGACATGTTGCGCTCGCGACGGAGCGCTCCTGAGCGTGCGCTGGAGTTTGCGAGCTTGGCTGTCTCCGTAACGGGCCCGTCGCCTGTACTCGGCCGTCAGTTTGACGAGCTTCGCAAGGAGGGTTTAAACCTACAAGTTACCACTGGAACAGAAGCCCGAGAGCTCTTGGAGGAGTGGTTTTTGAAAGTGTTCCCATACCGTTCGCCACCCATCTTTTGTCTAGCAAAATTGTACGCTGATTGATTCCGTAGGGACTGACGATCTGTAGAGTAGATGCTGCCAATTTCACCCCCATCGTCCCTTCCCACTTCTGGTATCCGTACCCTTCCCCTTCTTCCCCCTTCCCATACCTCTCGTCGCTTTCTTGCCATTATCGTCCTTTATCAGCTTCGTTCCAACCTCGTTCTCGGATTTCACATCTCCACACAAACTTCCAAATTAGTCCATGTCCGTTTTGGGTCTTGCCTCTCACCGTCATCATCACGTCCCGCGTTTTCTTTTTTCCGCATTCCGCGTCGGGTTTCCTTCGAACCTGCTGACTTGACTTCTCCGTTCCTGATATTCATTCGAATTTCATTCTTCGTGGGACAAAGAGAATCCGGCGCAGTCATCCTCGATCTATATCTGCTCTAGTCCTGGATAGTGTCTCCAAACCGCCACGGGGCACGCAGAATATGATATCGCCCTCCGAGCCTGGAACTCCTCGAATTGTCTTTGCATGGGCGCCTGACTGGAAGAAGTAATGCCATTGCACAAAGTTCTGTGGCTCATCATTCTTGTGGACATTCTGTGAACCGTCAGAAAATGAACACGGGGCGGTAAACAACGTTGCGAAGCTCGGGCTTGTGACGCACAGCGTAATGTGCTGCTGTGTCTCGTACGCGTCTGCTGACCCTTTCAGGTTCCCGCACAAACCGCGATGCATTATAAATGGAGCGAAGGGAAGGAATCCGATATTGGTTCTATATCCTCTCCCACATATTTACCATAGCAGCAATGTCGACCACTGGCAAAATGCGTGCGGTTGTGTACGACAAGCCGTTCAGCGTCACCGTGCAAGAGGTGGATAGGCCCAAGATTCAGCACCCAGATGATATTATCATCAAGGGTGCGTCTTCGTTCCGCTTCTGCTGGTGTGCGTCCGAAAAAACTTACTGATTCATGGTTGTATTTTGCTAGTTACGACGTCGTGTATCTGTGGAAGGTTCGTTTGTTGTCCCTCTTATTTCCCTCCGACTCAAAACGAACGGAACGAACTGTGTAGTGACCTCCACATGTATGAAGGCCGCACGGCGGCGCAGGCTGGGATCGTATTCGGGCACGAAAAGTAAGCAAACCCCCGTCGGACTCGGAATTGCCACTGAGCTGAGAACCATTTGCCCTTTAGCATGGGTATCGTCGATGTCAGTCCACCTTCTCCCAATTCGCTGGGTCTGACTTTCAAGAATACCAGGAAGTTGGCGCAGCTGTAACTGTAAGCTCTCCCTCCATCCGTCAGATGTTGTGCTGACCGTGGACGATAGCTCTTGAAAAAAGGCGACCGCGTCGTGATACCGTTTAACGTCGCATGCGGGCGTTGCCTCAACTGCGAAACAGGCAAGTCGGCGTTTTGCACCCTGGTCAACCCTGGATTCGTGAGTCACTCGATCCATGGTGCCCCCAAATTTGCCTGTGCTAATCTCTTTGAAGGCTGGAGGGTACATTCTACTACTCTGAGTTTGATTAACTAAATTACATCCGACTCTTAGCGCATATGGGTGAGTGGTGAATGTTCTACATGTTGTGGGATCCTGACCTACGAGTTACAAATTCAAGCTACGTTGCAATGGGACCGTATCCCGGCGGACAGGCGGTATATTTTCTACCCATCGAGTTTCTCATTTCTTGATAAAACTTGCAGGAATACGTTCGCGTCCCGTTCGGCGACTATAACGCGCTCGTTCTCCCCCCCGGCACGGAGCACGAGGAGGACTTTGCGCTCCTCGCCGATATCTTTCCTACAGTGCGCCTCCCCGTTCTTTAGCGCACCTTGGGCTGACTTGAACTCATATCTCAACTCTAGGGCTGGCAC